ACTTACTTAACAAATATGGTTTTAAAATCTCATACCTGATAATTACCATCTATGCGCACTGGTCATTCACACCTGTGTAATAAACAAACAAGTTGCATCAGGTTTGTAGCAGTACTTTTGATTTCACAAAATGTGCCAGAGAGTCAAAACAAGAAACTTTCTGCTTAATCTAAGCCCATAAGATACAAGGGCCAGGCTTCAGAGTAGTCTGTAAAGAGCAGCGAAGCTTCTATACCCTCCATTACACACCATGCCAGGAAGGCTTTCCTTCTCTGCAACAGGCCTGTGGTCGCTAAGGGTAGAGCTGGAAAAGTGAGCCCAAAGCTGATTGCTGATCCCTGCAGAATAAACCTGAAGGCATCAAAGGGCTTAAAAAGAAAAAGAAAAGCCCAGAGTTTTCTTGAACTCACTAGAAACTGAGGTGAAAGCAGGTATAGTGGAAAGGAATAGACAAGTGAGCAGAAAACGAAGCAGGAAATGCCTTGTAGGAAAGAGATGGAAAAGCTGGGGGTGGGGGGAAGGATGAAGAAATAAATGAAAGCACAATGTGTGAAATATGAAAGATAATGTAGACACTGTTGCAAGCATACAGACTATTCAGGGACAGGAGATGCAGTTCCATCAGCCGGACTGAGGACACTCTGAAATTACCACAATGTAAATTAATCAATTTTGCAGCAGCCTATATATTTTAAAAAGTCAGCCTGAAAACTGAAGTTTTACTGACGATAAAATCTTTAGCATGTCATCCGGACTCACTGAGCATTTATTGTCTTTACTCAGCACTGCGCTTTCTCCAGGACTGACTGCTGTGTCCATAGGTCTTGCCACATGGGCTGACACTGGTGTACCGAGAGAGCAGCATGTGCAGGTCCTTCACTGCACACTGTGCCCTGCCCTGATCCGCTTTGCTCCGCAGCACGGAAACCACCCAGCTGCCCAGTCAGGAGTTACAAATGCCCCGGGTCCCAGTTCAGCAAATAAAAATGGTTTGCTACAATTTTATACCAACACAGCATGACAGAAGCATCCCAGCATCCAGATCAAGCTCTAAGATCACAACACAGGCACCGAACACACTCAGTGGCATTGCCATGACGCAGTGGCAAGAGCTGCAGCCACTGCTGGGACAACAGCGTGGTCTATGAGCAGGCACAGAATGCTTCTAGAATAGAGAGCAGCCATGTGAGACTTAGAAGTAAATACAAGCACATTCCTCTGGTACAATACCTGATGTACTGCTGGAGGCAGAGTGCAGATGCTGAGGACTGGGGGGGTGTGTTCTGGCTCTGGAAATGTTGCCATTAACAGTTGTACAAGGGCAGCAATAAGCTCACGTGAGGACACAAGCATCCATCTCCTGTTCTGCTAATCCTTACTCTTGTTCACTGTTTCAGCAGCATCCTAGCAGAAACAGCAGTGAAAGGTCTTTCACATATGCCTATTTCCACTCTTGGCATCCCCTTTATGCTCTCCCTCATCTAATCTGTCCAGGAACCAAGGAGATTCACACATGAGGAGCAACAAAATCTGTAACTGTGGAGGAGATGGTGCAAAGAAAGCATCCTGCATGCAGTGAGAGACGCTGCTTTGACCAATCCACACACTAACATGCTCAGCCAGGAAATATGTGCTGGGAAGCCCATCTCATTTTGGATCAAAATAGGAGACTCATTACGCAGTCATCCTGACTTTTCTTTGTCTGTGAAGCAGAATAAAATTGACATGGGGAAAAGAACATATGAACTAAGGGCAGACACCTTATTCAGGGTTTTAACATTTTCAGGCTTTATCTGTTCCAAAGACCCTGTGGGTGCTGGTTCTTTTGCTCCTGACCCTGCAAAAGCATTCTCTTGACAATTTACCACAAATATCCTGAAATAATTTTTTTAATCAGATCAAGCTAAAGTCTTTTTTGTTCATAAAGGGAGAAAAGTAATTCAAGGAAAGAACTTGTGAGCTTTCCAAGAAGTTATGATATTCATTGCCTTGCCTGCAATACTGCACGAAACTCTCTCAAATCTTCTAAACACTATTTGTGTTCCAGGGTTTGTGCTAAAGATGGATTAGGAAAGATGTAATTGCAGTGAAGCCCATGCAACTCACTATGGCCAATAAATTAGACTAGCATTGGTTGCAGGCATTGGACTTTGCTGATTCTCATTCTCTGGTTAAATCAGGTTCAGGGCCTTCACTCTGTGTAAGAAGTCAAGGGGAAAGTCAAACACCTCTCCTTCACGTCTGGAAAACAGTAAAAAATTTAAAAAGAAAAATGTATTTGACCGAGACTAAGTTGATATTGAGAACACAGACATACTGAGGTAGTGAAAGACTAGAAAGGGTAAAATACAAGGTCTGCTGAAGGCTATAACTTTAAAAAGAAAATGAGACATCTGTCATATTTCTCCACTGAAACAACAGAAAGGTTGCATTATTTAGGAGACTTCATAAAGCAGATTTACTTTTGTACTCTTAAAGACAGGAAAAAACTGTGTTAAAATATAACATTCAAATTAGCAAAACAACTAAATTCACTTCAGAAGATACATAACAGTCTTAGAATAACTGATTTGCTACTAAGTTAATAATTAAGTCTTCTCAATATATACTGTTTCAAAAGTTTAGTCTAAAAAACTTCACTTGCCTTTATCTACATACTTAAGAACCGTCTGTCATTCAAGTTTTAGAGTGAGAAACAAAACACGGTGACCCTCTTTACTCAGCATTTCCAGAGGAGTAAGTACAAAAAAGTAGCCAGCAGAAAACTGAGCTTTACCTGGACACTTTCAGCAAATAATTACAGAAAGGAGCTTTAATTTCAAAATGGATAGAAGAGGTGGTTGGAAGTGCTGTGTTGTGCAGACACCCCACCCTTCAGCTATCCACAGGCAGCTGTCTGTTCCACCAGCTTGGCTCCTCCTTCGGGCTGTATTAACTGGACCCAGAGTAGCTGTCCCAATAGAGCTCAACTACACTTCACTGAACATAAGGCACTCCCGTGGCTCAATAGCTTCTTAAACATCATTACTCCAATGTAAGTGTTGATTGATTAAACTGGATAGAACTAACATTAAGCATTTTTGGGGCACACCCTTTATTTTAAACCTGACTCTTAACCTATGTGTCCAGAAGGCACATGGCTCTTGATGATTAACTACAAGCTTTATTCCAGTTTATTAAAGTACAGCCTTAATTTAGCCTAACATCTAAGGGAGCTTTCTTACGTTCGTAACAATGTAACAAAGAGCACAGTATTTTTAATTTACGAAGCTCAGATTTTACTACTACAGTAGTTTTAAAAGAAAGGTATACCTATAATTAAGTGCATAAGTCTTTCAAATAACGACTTCTGAATTAAATTAATCCTTTATGTATAACAAGGTGTCTTTTAAATAGTTAATTCAAAACTTTAACAGATATTACAGTAAAAAGCATGAGACAGTCGCTTGAGCAAGCAGTGTTGAAAACAGTGTATTATACTTCTGTAGATTTTTAACCTATACAAATACTCGTCTAGAAAAAGATCAATGAATAATCTTACCAAATACTTACAAACTTCAGTAATTCACTCAGGTGAGGTCAAACCTAATAGATAATGGCTAATTTTAAAACACAAACACCAGACACAAGATGAGATTTAAACTGGTACGTTCCAAGTCCACTAAGGTAAACATCAGTTCAAGACACACCTCACTAGAAGTTTGAGGTATCTGGCACAGACTTAGATGTACTAAACTGTACCCACTTATGAAATCTCTAAAATATACCAAGTAACAATTCAGTCTGCTCTTTCCTCTTCCTCTATCAAGCACAGTTTAGCTCTGTATGGCTAAAACTATGCCTTCTCATTTCCATGTTACAGTCACTTTATAGGACCACTGCTCTAAATCCCTGTGCTAAAATAACTAATTAAAATACCTGAAAAAGTAAAAACTTGCATCCAAACTGTGTCTTGTCTGTCACTTCAAGTCAGGACACCATTCCTAATTACCTCCTGCCTCTACTGAGTCAGCAGAGCCTCCTGGTTTGCCAGTATTTCCATGTAACTCTTTAAAACTTGCCTTTAATAGTCTTGTCTGCTCTACTTGTGCTTGAAATACTCCTTTATCACTTAGCTCCAGACAGGTAGGGCAGCACATCACCTCTTTTATCATTCACCTGTTCCCAACTTTTAAACAACAGCTTCATGGATTGAACTGCAACAGATTTGAAACTCTTCACAGTCTACTTGCTAAACTGATTACCTTCCCAGATTACATCTCACTGACGTGCTTGCTCAGGAAGGAAGCTATTACTCTTTGTGAAGTCTGCAGGCACCATTTTTCTTAGTTATAATAATACTTAGAAACAGCTGTTGATTTCAGTTTTGATCAAATAGATTTGGCAAGTTTCTGTACTCCATACTGGTGGTTGGAGTTGCTGAATTTAATTTCATTCAACTGAAAGCAGCAGTGTTCATTTGGGTATCTATACAACATCTCAGTTCAACATATGTATATGTTATGGTGTCTTTCATGTAGTGGCAGCACCCAACTCCATTTACACGTCATCTGGGACAGCGTAAAAACATGGTGCATAAATAAGATGGAGCATAAGAAACTGTAGAATGGCCAAGGCACAATCTGCTGAAGATGCTGAGCTATAAAGCAGTCAGAAGTTGTTCAAGGCTATGACAGTAGCCTTGCGAAAGAAGAACAAGAGGAGGACTTAGCAGTTACCACTGCACAAGGAATAGCATGGGATTTTACACCAGGTATAAAAGTATCTACAAAATCTGTGATGCCTGAAGTGGAACATGGACCTGTAAGGTGCTAACATGAATGAGAGGCTCAGCCATAAGAAGACACTGGAAGATATACAGGATGCAAGGAAATGTAGAAAACAGTGCCAGAGTTGTTCCAGAACAGCCTGTTTAGAAATAATGACTAAAAAGTAATGTGAAAGCATCAACCAACTGCTCCTTTTATTTGTTAACATAGTATTTAAAAACAAAACAAACATTATTTTCTAGAAATATATTTAATGTCATACAATGGTAGGTAAAAAAATAGATATTTTAATTGCAAAATCTCACAATAATTAGATGCTAACATGCTGTCCAGTATACTTCAAGTATGTACAACTTATGCCCCAAAAAATGGTTATTTCACAGCTTTCTGTTCACTCTGATGCAAAGTAATGAAATAAATGGTGATTTACAGTTTCCTTGGCAGTTTCCTTTCCCAGCTGGATAACCATGACTTAAATTATAGATAAAATGACATTAAAACTAAAGTACAGTAGTAGATCTCAGCACTACTATCTTAACAAAAAATTTCCATGCCGACAAAATAATCAGTATAAGTTTAGATGTACTACCATGGTTTGGGATCCAACCAACTAATTTACATGGGTTTAATATGGGGAGTTTTAGGCCACTTTTACTTCCTTAGGACTGTGTTGTATTTTAGCTTTTTATAGAGCTTTTTATTAAAAAGTTTGTGTTCTATCATACACACCTCGTCATGGATATAAGAGGGCTGAATCCTCAGAAGAAAGGAAAATAACCTTAATACAAAATGGTAACTCTGGGGAAAGTCCACTTCTCTGTAATGAGCCAGATGACCACACAGTCTGAAAAGAAATGGAGGGGAGAAAGGAAAAAAAGCCCTAAATTACAAGTGCATTTAGTTAGTATTTAGCTGCATTTATATATTTATTGTAATTAGAGGCAAACTCTACATTTTACCAATAGCATAAATCATGACTGTAGTTTACAATGTCAATTCTGTGAAGTGATCCGCTCCTGCAAAACCTTAAAGTAGAGGACTGGACCAAGACATGTTCAGAGCTGGTGCAAAGTAAGAAGGAAAAGCCTGCATAGCTTCTCACATTACGAATCACAATCTGACTCAACCAGGCAAAGAATATGTTCTTTGCCTTTTGGGACTAAATGGAAGCACTGTTTGTTCTGCCAGCTTTTAGCAAATGTAGCAAAGTATGAAAATGGCTACCTCACCCTATTTTTGAAATTTCTAAGAGTGTCCAATTCAGACACCCCAGGCTCTTTACTCTGTTCTTTGCATACTCTCTCCGTAGGGTTCCCCTCTCATCTTCCTCACAGTATGTCATGGGATAATAACCCATTCATTTATTGTCCTTTGTGTGCTAAATACAAATTGCTTGTCTAGAAACAAGAGAGAAAAGTTAAGTCAATGGAGTAACACCGGAAATATTGAAGCAAACATTGACCAGCTCAACAGAGAGTAATTAGTGCTGGAGCAGCCTTCTGCTTAATTACTTTGCAGCTTTCGTGGTGAAAATGTTAAGATGGGACAGAGGATAAACTGCAAAGATAGCTCTGTAAACATTAAGTTCAGCAGCTTAGGTTGGAAAAATACTCCTCTGAGTAAGTCTCAAAATTGTTTTTAATAAAAGTGGTAAGTTTAAAATACTACAAAATCTAGCTGCTTCAATTTTGGAAAAAAAATACTACACATTGATATGGGGATTCAGGTGCTATTCACCATATAAACCCTATGCATCTCCTAACTTACTGGGTATTGCCTTGGGATGTGACGAAGCACAGTTTAAAATTTTCCCTGTCTCTGATTCAGAGCAGCTGTCTTAAATATTCACCAGAACAAGGACTGGGATCTGTCTGTCCCAATTTACAGGTAAGTGTGCTAATTACTAGACTATAGAGCCATTTGCTCATTCCCTCTGGCCCAGCAAACATTTACATTTTACCTCAAACCGGAGGAACAGACAGACCTGTCCCAAGTGCCAGAGAAGCCGCACTTCAAGGAGTAGAGTCTTTGTTTAAAGCCTCCCGAAGTCTGGCAGATTGGAAATCTGAAACTAGGTCTCTCACACTGTATATCCCATTCTCTGCCCTACCTTACACTCCCCAAAAGCATTACAACATTTTTCACACATTGTAATACCTCATCACATATAGAATCATAGAATAATTTAGGTTGGAAAAGACTGTTAGGATTATTGAGTACAACTCCTGTCACTTAAAGACTTCCACAGAAAAACAGTTTAGAATCCAGTTTAAAACGGAAAGTTTTAAAATAAAAGAAAATGTAAAAGCATTTCAGCAACCATTTGACTGATCTCAGCTTTGCTGACACTGTAATCACACTTCAGTCCTAGGATTAAACCATTTCAGTAGTCCCAGTTAGGTCATGCTGATTTTTGGGGAAAGAGAATTTCTAAGTTTGTTTTCAGTTCTACTATACATACACACACTTGCATAGGATAAACCCTTATATCTGAGGGAATAGATGTTGTTTTCCAATGTTAAGTAAGTGTCAGATGTATAATTAACTACTTGCATTGCAAATTATATAATGGGAAATTTAACTGGTAAGAATTTAAATTCAAATCTTGTTTTATGAAGGCTATGACAGTTTGCCATTAACATTTTCATACATTACATATGAAAATGTAGGCTTAAAAACAGACTTTGCATGCAAGATTATTCACACAAACATACACCAAAATATCCACTCATTCAACGCGTACATAAGATTTACTCAAATCTGTGGTAAAAGGATTATTATCTATACTCCCTTAAAAAAAAAAAGGTTCTTATTCATACAAAAGAATGAATCTATAGAACCAAAGCTCTTGTAATGTAACACTGTGCTTGCATTATTCCAACCTATTTCTGTCACAGTGGATATGTGAAAAGTAACGTGAAAAGGAAAATAAAGATAAGGAAATAAATCCACAGAAAGACAGAAAAACTGCATTCATGTAAAAACTACTTATTTTAAAGGGGAATATCTAATACTTGAAAAATCCAGAACATATCACTAGGACTGCGTTGGGGCTATTGATCTCTGAAGAATACCATTCAGAAGTATATACAGATAAAGATTTAAGATGTTATTCAACAGACTAATGAAATCTCATTTTACGCGAATGTAACCCAACCTCTTTTCCAAAAAAATGCCCTCCAATTACACACATGAGAAATTCAGGAGACTCCAAGCCATCTACAGAGTTCATCTTTTCCCCTGATAATCACCAGTACATTCCTCTTCTGGATTAGGGTTTCATGATACAACCAATGGCAGAACCAAAGTCTGTGATCCAGAAGCCATATGTACTTTACCCAGGGAACTTATAAGAAACACTATTTTAGATATTTCCTATTCCTCGGAGCAAATACTGCCAAAGTCCTACATTCATTCAGCAGAGCTTTTGATGTCTGTCTCTGGCCATTGTCAGCACCCTTCCAGTAGAAAACTCACCCATTTTTGCTGAATGTGAAGTGAGAAGGTATTAAAGGAAGAGCGAGATGTTTGACACACATCAGGCAGATACTTAAATATCCATATAACTTAGTACAAGACTGGATTAGCTGGACTATCATTCTCCTTGCTATTTAGGTCCTCTGAAGAAAATAATTTTACTAACAAATAGCATGACTGTTTTGATATACACTTAATTGAAAGAAAAATTTTCCTTTCACTTGTAAAGGCAGGATTTGGGAACAGTTCTCCAGTAAAGACAGACGCTAAACTTCCTCAATAGCACAAAATATTTTCTTTTCTCACGTTTTGTCTTTTTCACTTTTCCAGTAAATGAAGTGTCTTCTTTTACTTTTCTCCATGCAAATAATACAACTTATGATTGCTGATACACTTAGATGAAATAGTGGTAAAGACCTTTTTACTTATAATTATTTTTTTAAAATATGTTCTGGAGGCATTAATTGCCTGCTTATTTGAACTCCTGTTAATTTTAACTTTGACTTTGATTAAGGACAACACAAAAGTTGTATAGTGACTTAGATAATCAATTTCCTATGCTTTTTTGGAAGCCGGGGACAGAGGAATGGAACCATTTTCCCATTCTTTGGAGAGCTGTGGCACAATTTTTTTTCTAAAATACTATGGAGAAGTGAAGTGAGTTAATCTAGCTGCTACTCTTGCCATGTGACTCTAGTTGTTGATTTTGTCTCATCTCCTCTCTTCTCAAAAGCTCACTTTGATCACTCCTCATGTTACAATTTGTCTACTCACAGCCCAAGACTATCCATTCCACACATGCCCCTTCCTACAAATGATTGGAACTATATGTGAACAAATAGCTGTGTACACACCCTGTACTTGTCATTTGTAAAAAAATATATACAGGTCTTTACTTTCAGGAGAACCTTCCAAAATATATTTTACAAAAATATTAATACTTACTTCTCATTACACAGTTTAACTGTACACAGCCAATAGTCAGGGTTCATGGCTGTAAGTAAACCACATTTTTCTTGCAAAATTCCCTTCAGGCTATGCCCATGAAAACAATTCCCATCTGTGTTTTCTTCAGACCACCTTAACTGAAAACTTGAAGGATTTGGCTTTTCACCACGTCGCACCGAACCAGACAGCTTGCCAAACTGATTTTGTAAATTCACAACCATTTCTGTACAAACAGAAAGAAAACAAACCAAGGCAAAAGTATTAAGTATCAGAATACTGTTTAGAATTGATTACTACAGGAAGAAAATGGGGTACCTGTGGGTTTTTTTATTTCTTTTTTTTTCTTTAAACCTCTCTGAGAAATACTGAGAAATCTTGTAAGTCTGTATGTTCTCTCTGCCACTCTATTTAAAATTCAAGCTTTTACATGTTTTAGTGAAAAGATTTTGAAATATAATTCAAAATGCCATGTCTTTCATACCTAATGATATTAGTAGTGGGGCACTCCTACTAGGATTTTTATGCTGATAGAAAGCACATTCATACACACACAGACTCAAGGTTAAGCTTTTCATAGTGCAAATTTCAACTGGGAAAAAAATCCAAGAAAAAAGCCCACTCTCCTTTGCCCACTGAATGAATGACAAACTTCCATAAGTTACTGAGAAGTGCAAGAAGGTATCACGATAGATCAGCACACACAGTATGACTGCCTAAGCCTGTTTTCCTAGGATAAAAAGAAGGTTAAAAACCATTGTTGTTGGAGCTTCGACTTCTTTTCATGACCTGGATTTGAAGAAACTCATTCATACATTGAAAAAAAATCCCTGAAAAAAAATCCTAAATTAATCCAAGGACTGGGAAGTTTATCTTTCAAGTGGATGCTAAAATCTATAATCAAAACCAAAAGCTTAGGAAGGTTTCTGAAAACCTGTATCTAGAATGTAAGTGTTCTTACATGTGATACTCTTTGTCTCTACTACTGTACATTTGTTTTAAGATGAATCTTGTCTGTTACAATGGCATTATGTGATATTCCCAATCACAGCAGCAGTGGTCTTCTTCTAGCTCCATGAGGAATCTCTTTTATTATAAATGCAGGAATTAAAGGGCATCTGAGCAATGATCAGTTTGAAATAAATCAATCTAAACATGCTTTTCCATGGAACATGAATTGACTGCAGGATCATCCTTACTGAATTTTGAAGAGTAAGAACACAAAAAAACTCTCACTGTATTCTTGAAAGAGAAATCCAACATGAGTAATTCAAACCAAATGGGATTATACAACTTGTTTAGAAGTCCCTGAAACTGAAAGAGTATATAAATGGAAAAATACCGCTTACCACACTTGACATCTCTCTCCAAATACCTGCTGCTTTCTAGATAATACTAAATGTAGAATGAAGAACTTCAGAACTAATTTGGTTGAATAAAATTCTAGTTTTACATATTTCCATAGATAAGTGGGTTTTTGTTGTTTTATTTGTTTGCTTTTATGTCAGTGTAAACCCCAGTAATTTCTTATAAGTACTGCTAGAGCTACTAAAATACAGTAACTGTAGCTGCATTCCACCATGTGCAGGTGGCTACTTAAGAAAAGCCTTCCTTGCTTTCTGCAGTAGATTCCAAGAAAGAGTGGGAGAGAAGAGGGACATGCAAGTCTACCAAAGGACATAACAGGGATATTCATACCAAAGGATATGGAAGCTATGGAAGTCCAACAACAATTCACAAGGAACACAGTGATATGAAGGTAGCTGACAAAACAGTGAAGATGGGGACAGAGTACTCCTTCCCAGATGTGTTTCAGTATGTTGTTGGGAAGACTGGCAAAGGCAGTTTCAGTCATGTATGTTTGAAAAATTCCAGCCACGGGTTGTAAAACAGTACTACATTAATTGTACCCAGAGATGAAAGAGAGGAGAGAAAGTATTTTACGATGTAAATGTTATCAGTCAGGCCTGCAGATTTCCTATGATGGGAAAAATCTGAGCAGATTTTTGCATTGCTGGGAAGAAGCAAAGTTTACTCACGTCTTCTCTTTAGAACTCTAGATTTATTCTTGACTGAATAAAACAGTGGTTTTTCACATCTCCACAGGTACCTACCAGTAAGAAACATAAGGATTGTTAAGAAAAAGAAAGCTAGAGCAAACAAATGAAAGAATAATAATTTCTTACAAATACTGCTGGAGTTTTAAATTAAAACCAAAATAATCTAATGGTTAGTGCTTTTAAAATCCACTCTCCCCCAACAGACTCAGAAAGTGTTTTTCAGAGCAGGTAAACCAAGGCATGTAAGCCTAGATGTACTGCAGTCAGTTAATTGTTCAGCTGTACAAACTATAGTCACAGAAAGTGAGTATTTAATTAATAAGCTTGATAAACATTATGAGTGTAAATAAAAAATTAAGATAGGGACTTAATCATACCATTCACTCAAGCTTGGTGGAGCAAATTTCTAACCTTTTTAATTTCTGTGAGGATCAGGATTTCATGTAAAACTGTCTACTTAAAGAAAAAATACTTTAAAACTTCTTACTTGGCTCTTTGTTCATCCAATTTCTTTTGCTCCACATCCAAGGAATGTTTTACCACTTCGTACCACTTCTTGAACTCAAAATACAGACCACCTGAATAAAATAGACACATTTTAGGTTGGGAAGAAATGAAAGAAATGTGCAGTACACAAATGTGCAGCACAGTTAGACCTTGCATTTTCTACCTGTATACAAACCTATCCCGAATGCGATGTGCTTAAAGAAAACATACCTGACCTACTACTTCTATAAGAAAGAGAAATGCAGAAATGCAGTGAAAGAATAGCATGTCATAAGAATTGTAAAGAAGTCCCTTAGCTTAGACTTCATAGATTTAGAACAAATCATGCCTTTTCCCTCTTTTCTGGAAAGTTAAGCCCAGCAACTACCTCCTCTCTACCAAATGAACTAGTGCTCCACTGTGTGAAGTACCTTCACTTGCTTGAAAGCTGAATTCAAGGGATTAATGAAACTATACCTCAAGCCTAGGTTTAAACAAATAAGATCTAAAGAAGCTCAGATGTAAAATTTCACACAATTTCATCAGCTCATCACTGTCCATACTACTACCCATGAAACTGTACAGGGTTGGAAGGATAAACTAGACAATGGTCTTCACTGCATATCAGCCTCCCATGCTTTTGAGCACAGGAACTTCACTCTGATATGTGAACAAATACTAACCAGCACATGTAAAAGCATGAAAGTATATGACATGTAGCACAAACTTTATCATTGATCCTCCAAAGAGGCACAAAACTGAAGCAGACCAACTGGGTACAGTAAGGATAAGAATTCCAAACAGAAATAAGGTGTAGATTTATATATTTAAAATACAATTAACTCTTCTTCCCTGTGGGTGGATTATCTGCATTGTGAATTAACCAGGCTTTGCATTTCCCCATCACCCCAGCTGCACTGCATGCAATGCTTGCATCATGCTTAGCTGTGCCAGCCAGCTATCTGAGCTGCTCTGAAGGTGAATATCCTGTTCTTACAATCAAACTTACGTATGTTTTGTATTATCTGCAGTTTTGCCATTTGTGTTATCCTGCCACAGGATGTCTAGATGAAACAAATATAAATGGGCTCGAAAAGCAACAGACACATAGAGGGAAGAAAGACCCTACAGTAGTTCTTGAAATTCAAAGGTGTGAATACAAGTTCTTTTAACAACTCCTTAAACTCAGAGGTTTAAGTAAATACTCCTAAACTGCTTGGAGGGCAGTTTGGGGGGTGGTAGAAATTTGTATTAAACTTCATATGAAATATTAAGCATCTGTCACACACAAAACCATTGTCAGAGACACGATGCTACACTGTAATAACCATTTACCTGTCCAGTACTGTCAGTCTGATGTTCATGTAGCTGAGCTGAGCGGAAAATACACAACTCTGTGACACACACATACATATACATGTATCAATCACATTTTATTTGAACATAAACTGTATTGTGTATAGTTCATAGAACACACATACTAGGTAACTACAAGTATCTATTGTACTGCTTCCAGTGTGTCTTGAAGAATTGTAGGAGCTGAAATACTATTTTTTAAGGACTAGAGAAAGGATAGTTAACAACTGGGAATGGAGTCAACATAAACTGAATCTTTAAAACTCAGTGTTAACCATTATTCACTTCAGCACTCTAACTTTGGGAAAATGCCAGAGGCAGTTTTGAGCTCTGGCACTAATCATTGCTCTAACAGAAATTCTCACATCAGCTCCTCTGCGCAGCTGCTCACCATCACCCCAACATTTAAAGGACAGGGACAACATAACAGAGCATATGGATCAATTTGCACCAGCAGATTTTAAAGTAAAAAAGTGGGCAAAGAATGAGCTGCTAATTCCCAAGGGCAATGAGACTCGTTAATAAGGGAGAAACCCCATTAAGACATTAATGGCTTTGAGCCTCAGCTTGTAAAGCAGCTGCACAACTCTCACTCTTGTCACTATCATGTACTTCGAGTTTTCAAGGGAAATAAAAAGGAAAAAAAGAATCCACAGTAAGTTGGTGTATCCACTTGAAAATTACCAGTTTTAGTTAACAGTGATGATTGTTTCTAATTACAGCAGTAATTCTGCTCACACATGGCTAACACCAATTTTATTATTGACTTAAGTTTTAAAAAATAGCAGAAGGGTCAAAACGGACCCAAAACTGGATGGAAGACTTAACAGATAAACCACTGTAACACATCTTGGATCTTATCTTCAACTGTGAGCTGGATGAGGCCATGGAACATCTTCCTGAAGATTTCTAATCTTTGATTTGGTCTTTCTGCCCTCAAAGAACCATGTTCACACCATTATCTTCTCTATCTTAATTGCTGCTAGCTTTTCCACACTCTCTCAAGATTATTTGGACTAAGAAACTAGATTACATCTGAAATATGTTACACACTAAGACATTTTATTTAACAAGACTAAACAAGTTTGGATTTTATCATAAATGTGGTTTGATGCCCCTAGTATTTGCCATTTACGATCAAAGTGCATTCCCTCTTTATGTGTATCCATTCATCTTCACCCAGCAAGCACAAAATCCTAAAACAAGAGGCAAACATGCACAAGCAGAAGCAGAGGTACCTAGCAAAATGTGTACCAAACTCCCTTATCGAGCACAACAAGAATTATGCAGGTGCACTGAGGCTATTTTATGTGAGCAGAATCTACTCTTTTCTCTGAATAAAGATTTGTCCTAAAAGAATAAATGACAAAACCACATTTTAATGATCAGTAAGACAAGTCTTTTTAAGCTTGATTACAAAGTTGTTTCACTTACTAAATCACAACATTGCTTCTACTAGAATATTTATATACCTTCTTTGTTATTTTTATTTCTTTCTTCAGCAAAGTTTGAAAGTAACCTGAAAAAAAATTAAAAAATCAGGCTGTTTTGTAGATCTAAATACTGCACTTTTTACATGAAGTTCAAATACAACTGACAAAAATGACACCCTAATTTTATTCTAAGTTTCAGATTCAAACCAATGATTTTTAAAAATAAGTAATATTTCATGTCTAAAATACTTTCAGGTGTACATTTTAACCTACTGAACTGAAATTCCAATACTATAAATTTAATTCTAAAGAAGGAACGATCCAAAAAACAATCATTTGCACTATTTGAAATTTGGGCGTTGCTACAGATTTGCCTTTACACTTACCATTCATAGTGATCATCTAATAAAAACAGTAATTTGAGCACAACTACAATAACTGCTGCAGCAAGAATATCATATTTCACTTTTCTTGTTGACTTATTTCCAGGTACAAGAGTCAGGAAATCCACTTCTCCAATACCAATTTTTTTCACCACTCGACATGTCCAATTATGCAATTCATCTGATTAATATAAATAAAAACATAAAAGGAGTAGGTTAAGACAAGCTAAAAATATTTTTACAGTGCAAGTATGTCGGTCATTTGAGGAAAACAATATTTAGATATTTTAGGACCATTTGACAGCCATTTTTTTCAGGCTGAGTATTTTTAAAAATACTCAGCAACCTTCACCACACTTCCATGGAAAACACTTATGACATTACATATTCACATGGAGAAAAAAAGAATCACATATTTAATAGTGTTTTGATGTTACTCGAATGATGTTGTGAGATCATCCTGAATGTTCTTCTGGGTAAGCCTATCACAAATCCACATAAATATAGTTTCAAAAGAAACCCCAAAAGCCAAAAATTCATCACAAGCTTTTTTCCTGCATGTTGACAGAATACCCATGGGAGGACGGATTCAGCACTGCATAGAAGAGGAACAGGGGCTAGTTTTAAAGCAGCTGTTGGGGTATGAATAGCAGTTGGATCGTGGCAGGGCAGCATTTGCTGCTCCCCTGGCAAAACCTGGCAGGTTAGACCCGGCTTTACCCCACGCAGCCCCATCGTACCCTCACGCCCGCTAGTGCAGGTTGTGCCAATAAGATACAACTGCAGCTCCACAAGCAACAGTGTATCTATACAGTCTCTTATTACTCTGCTTATTTTTCACAGATACAAATCCCCCAAATTTCTCACCTTTCCTGTTCAGCAAGAAATACAGGAGCTGATTACATCACCAACAGATTCCACAAAGGTTAGCAATGTATGACTAAGTACAACCTTAATCCAGCTATACTTACAGTCTCTTGCTGCTTACAAACAGGTCAGTAGGAACTTGTTTTTAATCCTCTCGTACAAAACAGTAAAAGTTAACCAAAGTCTGGAAATTATATCTTCTTATAAATACTAGCAGTATACTTTATTTCAGATACTTTAAAAGGCCTCTTCATTAGTACTTAAGTGTCCTAAGAAACATTGCCAATTTGTTGCTTATTTTTTGGGGGGAGTTGTTAGACAACAGCAGCAGTCCTTTTTCAATTCTTAAAAAAATGTTTCTACATGACAAAAAGTATAGTTGCAAGGAAAAAGTAACGGACATTATATTCTTCTTCTACAATAATTTTCAAAGAGTACTGTAAAAAATCTGAAAATGACAATTTTCTAGCCTTTGCTTTGATTCAACTGATACTTTACAATTTGCAAAATAAGGTGACCCTCTATAGGATCATAACACTGGTGTAAAGCTATGAAATCAGAATTTCTATTCCAGAATTTTAGGCCTAAATCTGTTGGTTATCTTATTTTCATTCAACTGTGAGTAAACAGAAAACCCAGGCACCTTTATTCAATGTAACTAACTGCAAAATAAGACACTAACCCCCTACCCTATTCCCAAATTGTTGGAATACTTTCAGGAAAAAAAATTAATTTACAGGCTGTTTGTCTGTATAACTCATCTTCAGTGACAGTGGTATTTGACAGAAAGTATGGTAACCCAGCAGATAGACCAATATGTCCTAGTGTGTGAACTTTCTTTGACAATTCAATATTCAAGACTTAAGGAGTCAATACTTTAACAACATACAGTCTTAGAACTAAATCATAAATACAGTGAAACAGCAGCTGATCTGTCACACAGTGTCAATATTAAAATTAATGCTAATATGCATTATTATATAATATACAAAACATATTCTATATTAGAGAATATACAGCCATTATTATATATGAGAATTCAAGAGCTAAGCAATCAGGTCCCAACTTCATGAATCAGTTAGCTAAAGTTAATAAATCACATGAATTCAACTAGTGCCTCTTAGTTCACATGGATACTAAAAGATTTGAAATGAAGTATCCACTCCACGACTTAGAGAGCCAACACCAGAGTGCCCTTGCATATCTGGGCCTATAATACGTACTCTAAATGTTTGATGAAGGTGCTTTCTATAGAAAAAATATCTTTCAGTTCAAGCTTAAATGGGAATAAATTAGGAGGAAAAGAGCAGCACATTTCAAGTAGTAATTCAAGCCTTTTGCCAGAGTTTAATAAACCACAGAAAAGTTTTATCAGTACAGGCTAGAAAAAATATTTACCAGGTAAATTAGCTTCCATCAAGTACTTGATGCACAACATGTCTGGATGAAGAAAGCAGCTGTCTGTTATATCTGGAAAACGAGGCAGGTCTAAAAACGCCGCAAGCTCAAGCATTTTGTTGTATACTTCTTCATATACAGGCCATGACTGAAAGACACCATTAGAAGGTGTTACTCATTTGCTCTATTACCATATTTGTTAATGATTTGAAATTAGTTATTAATGTTAAATTCTGTATTGTTTAATACAGGATTATTTATACAGACTCTTTTAGCACTCTATGACTAAACACACGTGCAAGAATGGAGCCAGAATGCAGTACTGCAAAGAGAGACCTGTGCTAGTTTCAAATCCCATGAAATATATAAGGAACAAATAGAAAGTTGTTTCAGACCCGCAACCAACACTCCACCTTTTTTGTAAAGCGATAAGTATGTCTCCAGATGCTACAAAACTGAAAGAGCTATCGGAAAAAAACCATTACAAGTCCAAGTGTCTAAAGAGCTAAGAGATCAGAAAACCACAAAAGATGGAGGTTGGCAGGGACTGCATAAAACCACCAGGTCCAAGTCACTGCTTGGGTCATCTAGAGCAGACTGCCCAACCCCATGTCCAGTTGGATTTAAATATTTCCATAGATGGCAGCTTCACAACACCTGTGGGAAATCTGCTCCAGTGTTTCTGTTTCACCAACCCCTATGTACAAAAGAAAAAACGTTTTGTTTTCCCTCACACTTAAATGGAATTTCTTGCATTTCAATTTGTGCCCGTTTCCTCTCATCCTGTCACTGGATACCATTAAGTAGGATCTGGTTTTCCTCCTTTGCACCCTCCTGCAGATATTACATCACACTCGCCCTGAGTATTCTCCAGTTCCAGGATGAACAGTCGCAGCTCTCTCAGCCTACCCTCATTTGTCAGATGCTCCACTCCATCAGCTTCACAGTCCTTTACTGGAGTCACTCCACTGCATTCACATCTCCTTTGCAGTGGATAGCCCAGAACTGGACCCCAGCACTCCCGGTGTATCTTACCAATGCTGAGGAGAGGAAGGATCACCTTCCCTGAGGACTTGTGCAGTCACCACAACCTTTCAAAAATTATTGACAGTGACACTGAGATGATGCCAGCCAGCTGCCTCAGTACTTGTGGCAGCATCCCATCACAGTCCATGAATCTTCATGCATCTAGTTTGTTCATATATTCCCTAACCTGCTTCTAAAAAACTGAGGTAAAAAAAACATTAATCACTTTAGCCTTCTCCTTGGTCTTTGTGACTGTATTCCCATTCAGCAGCAGGCCCACATTCCCTAGAACCCTTCCACAGAATCTTTAATGTAATGTCATTTAAAAAAAAATTCTATATTTGCATATTTATTAGTGAAAATAAATCTACAATTCTCTTTTCAAAACTGCATGAGGAAAATTCTCCCAATTTCTACTGAAGCTTTCCTGCTACTGAAGAATATAACTAACAGACAGATTTTGACATGTTTACTCATAATGAACTCAACAGGACCTGAGGTTTGCGTAAGTATAGACTGTAAGGTTTGACCCTCATTTCTTAATACCTGAACTGTTTCATTAAACATTCTTAATTCTCTGTATTTTAAGTGATTACTTGAATTTACCTCTCAAAGCAATAATTTAGGTTGTTCAGGCTACTTTACCATTTTAAATGCATAAAAAGCAATGCTTTTTCTGCTTTCATTGGTGGTTCTAATTCAGCAGAGCACTTTATCATGTATTTATATTTTATAAAGTCAATTTGTGCATATGGAACCCTCCTTTAATAGAAATTTAGCAAGTGTTTACACTTTGTGCACAACTTCAAAACTTCCTCCAACAAGGGTGAATTCAATGTGGTTTTATCCAATAATTTGTTTTCATCAATTTTAATATAAGCTATGCAGCCAGTGCTCAAATTTTGAGTGATTACCAACATTTCATTTTCTTTTTTTAAATGATCTCCCCTCAAACTGCGTTCAGACTTGCTTAACTGTATGAACACATGCTGAAGCAAATGAATAATTCTGCCGTCACTTACTATTACACATGTAACTTTTTGCAACAGTTAGGAAGTTGTATCATGTTCATTAAAGTTTCTAAACAGTGTTAAAAATTGGCTCAGACTGTTCCAGGACTACCTTGAGAAACAAGAAAAACATGCATTACAAGAGTTCTGCAGTAGACCAGGCTCACAGTACTTTCTATTCCTTTTAAAAAGCAGTGCTAAATTGAATACCAAAATTATCTTGGAACACAACCTGAATCATATGTAACTTCTCTTGAGTGTAGTGGGAGAAAACTTAAAGTCTCAGATAATTCAAATAAGAACATTACATAAATATTATTCCTAATTAGATATGAAGGAGATATGCTTTTCCCTTTAATGAAAAGAATTAGTAGCTTCTTAATAACATATCACAGATGAAAATAAATTACAACACCAGGAATTCAGTCACTTGAAGTAATCCCCTTCTCAAACATTAAACTATCACCAGTAGAGCTATCTGCACAGTCTAATTTAATATCAAGGTACTTTAGGAATACAGCTCTTAATTGAAGGACTCAAGGTAGACACCTCCATCACCTTCTACCTGAGCTTCTCTCACTGTACCAGGGCAAGGAGACAGCCTTCCTATCCTAGGCACTATTGAATCATACCTTCCTTGCCAGGCCCAACACTTACTTTTGTCTCAAAGCTTTTGTTTGCAATTTATAGGAGTCAAACTGGTTCTTTCTCAAAACGGCTAGAAAACACTCTGTTTTGCAATGACAACCAAGGCTTTCCTTTTTTTGAAGGCAAACGAGTGGTATAAAAACTACAAATAAAAATTAAGACTGAGAGCTACCACTTGGCTCATTTTAAAAAGAGTGTTAATAGACAAAAACAGTTCCTTGTTGATGTGTGTTCATAAGATATCTAAACACATTTGGGACATGCAGATTTAGGAAGGGCATCCTAATAGATCACAAAAATCAACCAAATCAATTTCTACTTTCCAGGGCTTAACCCCCTAAGCTCAAAAACATTCACTGCAGTACTCCTGTTGCTACAACGCAGCACTGAGTCATGACCACGCTTCCAGGAGTACAGTCATCTCTGGAACTGCAAGGATAAGCTGGATCCAGCACAAGATCACACCTCCACGGGACACATCACAGCAAAGGGCCAAAGGCTGAAAGGTCGAGGACTGAGGAGACTGCTGGGTTATTTTAGGAATCAAGCACTGGCTGTTTTCACCAGTCACTGCATACCCTGCTTAATTCTGGAAGAGCTGTGAGTTCATACAGCAAATCTTTTATTCTGCAAATATTTTATTCTTTTATTCAAACATACTGCAAGGGTTAAAAGAGAAAGAACTCCCAAATTCCACACAACCAACACCATAAGTGTTGGGACAATATTAAGAAAAAGCAAGATACAGCAAAAAAGCAGCCTCAAAATTAATAAAAGTTATCACCTTCTACCTAGCTATGTATCTCTAACAACAACAACAACAAACAAACAAACAAACAAACAAAAGAACTTGATAAAACAAGTTGCACTGGAAGTCAACCAGCAAATCCACAAGGAAAGTAAGATCCAGAGCTGGGGCCCCTTCTTTCAGGTAAAATAACTCTGCTGCCAGCACCCCATGATTAAACCCCAAGGGAGGAGTACTTGGACAACAGAGGACAGTATTAGATCATGTCATGCTCTCTCCAATTGCAACTTTCACTTATCCAATCATAAATTAAAAAATTCAAGCTGTATTTCTGTGCTAAATATTAGGACAACTCCCCTGTCCATCAACATGTGGAGTCACTGAGCTCTCACCTTGTTTCAAGAACCTGGGAAACAGTATAAAAGCCACAAATAAAACTCAAGTTACAAACCCTTGAGGGCACCTAATAATTCCAGGAAGACTGACAGAAAACCCTTTTAAAGTTATGCCACTTGCTAACCTTTTCTGGAGTGTCGCAAGCTGAGATTTCTTCAAGACTGATCAACAATGCTGACAGAGTCTGTAACTTGTCTAGATGGGGTACAGAGGTTACTAAGAACTTTTCTTAAGCTTTGTCTTTAAAATCTTTGCATGTTATTCCCACATGTGACAAATAAGGTAGCTACAGGTCTTCTCCAGAAAGGAGTACAGAAGATTAGTACTACTTGAGAGTACTTCCCCCTGCCCTCCTCCCCAACAACTTTAGCTGAGCACAGGAGAACAAAATACACACTTTTGAGTCAGTGAAGAAGTGTCTAGAACAAGATTTTTATGATAATAAGTAGTCATTAGACTATTTAAGTTGGTTGTCTTTATCTTTCAAAGTTAAGTGGCATTTTTCACCCATATTAGAAAACAAGCTGGTTTTCAGGAGCAGAGGAGTCAAACTATTAGCATGATAATCAGATCACAGTAACAGGTAATTGTTTTGGGTAAGCCAAGATTGCAGCCTCTCTTACTTGTTAGGACAATATCAGAATGTTGCTGATCAACAAGTAGAAAACAATATGCACTGGCTGGCTTTCTAGAATAATTTGCGGGCTCCATATTTTCTTGTTTTAAATGTGGTCTGACTGACTCTCCTCTTAGATGACTATATAGGCCATTTCCTTCTTGTGTATCAGGACAGTACCCCTGCAGGCATTAAGGCATTACTCACATATTCACAATACTCACAACTCAGTTTATTTTACAATGATAATGTTCTATCCTTTCTGAAAAGAATTAATTATACAGTTGCTTTAAATTTTCCCTTCTATTTTTCCTTGTTTCCTGTTCAGTATGTTTTTTGCAGCACAGTTCGCTTCCTCATCATCCTTCTACCTGTGAATTTCCACCTTGAGAACTGGTTTTTCCCATGCCTGTACATTCTCTAAAGTTCTACCTTCACTTAGGCTGCTTATGTTCCACAGTGGACGTTTTTTCCCAAGTGATTTGTTTAATGACCATTTAATACAGGAATCTAATATGGTCCAACTCATTTTTGCATTATTGGCCTTTTGTAGGTCTCTGGGAGTCATTTGACATTTAGAATTGGATATGATTGCAATTATCCAAAACTCAGCAAGGCTTCATCATTTTTAAGATGACAAATTCAGCCTAAACCAAGTTGGAACAAGAGTGTACAAAACTTGTCAGGAAACGGCCTAAGAAATC